TAGGGAAAACTAGAACTCCTGTTAAATCATAATTTAAAACTGAAATCAAAGTAAACCTACCCTTTTTCAAAATAGAGGAGTGCTGCTCTCTCACTCTCCCATGTAGTTCTGCAGTTCTTGGTCCTGGAATTGGAAGAACAGAGATACTGTGGAAAAGGACATTTCCATGGTAGTTCTGTCTCAGAAAGATAAAAAATTGCAAATAGGTCTTCATAATTTGTCAGAACTGAAGTGATGGGCTAAGTTCACAAGCAGGTCCACTCTTCCTTTGCAGGGTTATTGACTTTTTTCCAAGAGCCACGTGCATTTACATATCATACAGCCCAGAACTCATGCCTAGTACTTATGGCTTAAAAAAGAATTAGATACGAGGTAAAACTGCTGAGAGTAACTTAGAACGATAGGGCCAAATTCAGTGTCAGACTTGGGTATCCTAATCCAAAATAGTGATCCTGAAAACTTGCAACCCTGGAAGTCCTTCATAGGCACCTCACTTTGACTTTTAAGTTGCCCAGGCACTTGGCTCTTCACTTTTGCATGTGCTCATAAATGCTCCAACCCAGCGTAAGAGCACCTGTCTTGCATCTAACCCTAAACAGGGACCAAAGATTAGGCATTTAGCTAATCCAACAACAAAAACAATCCCCTTCTAGATAACTGGCAAGGATCCAGGGCTAGTTCCGGAGACCATCTTTCAACAGGATCTGTGGGTTTAAAAAAGTAAAAAAATGGCCATACATAAACAATTAATAGTATCTTCTGCCTTTGGACAAGAAAATAGACCAAATCAGTCAGTAGTGTGGTCCTGGAAATGGCTTAAAGGCATACGTTCTTTGATCTAGTCTGTTTATTTGTAGCCTCGGAGAAGAAAGCCCCGCCTTTAAAAGCTGGTCTGCAACTATCCCAATCATGCAGTTGGCCCGATAAAAGATCATCCACAAAAATGTTTGCCCATAGCAGCCCCTGCTGTTTGTACTCCATTCATTTTTACGAACGCAAAGACAGAAATATTATGCTATATCACGCAATACTGAATTCTCAGCTATCCTGCAAAAAGTATCTGGTCTGAAGCTTAATTGGCTTGTATTTTAGTATCAGATGTTACTTATTTTGGACATATCTGTTATCATAAATGAAGCCTCATAATGAAGCCTCATACTTTTTAAACTGAATTAATTCCATTGATTAACAAGGGTACATACGTATTTCAAATAGATGCGTTAGATTTCACACACACCTTTCTCTTGATCAAATGTAAAGTCTAATTACTTAAAAAACAACAGTGTTTTGGTCTGCATCTGCAAATGCTTATTACTGAGCATAGGACCTACCCTTATAAGCAGTGATACTTGTGAATGTATGTGGGGAAAGCTTTTATCATACTTTTTTTTAACAAAAAAACCCCAGATTTCTCCATAACCAACTGGAGCCACAATTTAGATTAACCTAAAGAAGCCCCAAAAATAGTGCTGTCACTTTGTCAGAGCAGCCAAAGATAAACACTGTGATTGAAGAGCCCAGTTCTTCGAAAGGCTCAAATATTGCCTGACCATAATCATTATTCTTTAACTACTACTAGGTTTATGGAGATAAAGATGCGGATGGATTCTATCGGGGGGAAACCTGTACAAGAATTGGCCTTATTCCATGTAATATGGTCTCTGAAATCCAAGCAGATGACGAGGAGATGATGGATCAGCTTCTGAAACAAGGGTTTCTTCCTCTGAATACACCCGTTGAGAAAATAGGTAAGGGAAAATACATGTGGCTTCATTGGTTTGGCACTGTTAACTTGGCTGTACCTGCTTTGGCTTTTTTTTTTTTAAATATATGGCAAACGCATCTAAATCGTACAGCCATCTACTACACTATGGGATACATTCTGTGTCAGTATCTTCATTAAGAAAACGAGAAAAATCAGAATGTTTTAAGCTCTTTCACTCTCAGTGTCTTGAATGAAGAGTCCTATTTTCACTACTACACACTCTCTCTCCCTCTTCCCCTCCTTTCCCCCTTTTCTCTCCCTCCCAAATCTTTGAACCTCTGAAAGATTTCTAGACACAGAACAAGATCCCTCTGCTTTGGAGTATGCAGGGCTGAGATGCTTGATAAATATGCTCACTGCTGGAAAACATAAAAAGAATCACTTGTTTGTTGTTCTTTTTACTCTTCTACATTTTCCTACTTTACCATAAATTTAAAGGGATGGTGGCAAAGGGTTATGTGTGACATTATCTAGGTTGATGCTACAGATTCAAAAGGTTTTAAAAGATACCAAAATCATCAAACCTTTCAGTTCAATCAGATCCATTTCTGTATAGCACTGAACCACAGATTTAACATAATTGGCTCAAAACAGAAAGAGACGTTATACGTGTCTTTAAAAAAAAAAAAAAGCAATGTAGTGGTATGTAGTATATTTGCAGGGCAGGAAAAGCAAGGTCAAATTTTAAAATTTCAGTGTTAATAATCAACCAGAGATTGTAAAGGGCTGACATTGGTTCAGTCCTATTTAAAAGTGAACTGTGAACGTGGTTGCTTCAAAATAAATGATCCAAAATTGTTTGGCTGGATTGAAAATACGCTAACCGTTTTAAAGAAAACAAAGCAATTACTAACTCTTTAAATCTAAGTTTAACAACCCTAGTTTGACTGCCAGAGCTAGAGGATTTAAGGCACCTAAAGAAACCGAGAGAACGAATCATGGCTAAATGCAAATGTGGGTGGCCAGAATTCAGCTTCTAGTGTAAAATTTTAAAAACACCTAAAATAAATAGGAAACACTGGCTGTTCCTAAAAGTGTAAGGACACATGCAGACATTTCCAGGACCCGATCTAAGAGCACGTGGCTCACTTTAAGCCGCAGGATCATAGATCGGGTTCCCACTTCTGCACGCATTTGCCGGTGCTAGGCGCTGCACCAAAAAAATGATTTAAGTAAGTTGGGGAAGGGGCAGGCAGAATCAGAGGCAGGGGAGGAGAGGTGGAGTAGCAGGTCCACGAGAGGGCTGGTGCATTTTGGGGGAGGGTGTTGGTGGGATTGGGGGGGAGTGTTGTCTGTCTGGGATTGAGGGAGTTGGAAGGCTAAAAATAGCTTGGTCAGGGTTGGGGTGATGGGGAGGGGGGCGGGTTGGGAAAATCAGCCTGGTGGCTGGGGTGAGGGCTGAGCGTTCCTAGCCCCAGGGCTGCGCTCCAAGCATGTACACACATTCGGTTATATGGAGTACGGATTAGCCTGAACTACGTAGTAGATCACCTCCTTAGGTGGACTAATTTAGATCAGGCCAGCCATGCTTGGCCAGATCTAGACTCCCTGAATATATTCACAGTTTAGCACTTAAATCGACCTCACCCCAGTTAGGTCAATCTAAGTGTAACATCTGCATGTACCCCACGTGCCAGGTGTATTATATAGGTGCCAAGTGGGATTTGCAAAAGCACCTTGGTATGTTAGACCTAAGTTACATGCCTGCTTCCCTCGATGGCGGGTTAGTTTCTCTCGTGAATGTCACTGTGTGTTTAGACATCTAAAGGTGCAGCAGATGCACTGGTAAATCTGGCCTTCACTCACTTTTAAATACAGGACTTATTACTATGCTTTGAGTCAATCAGCTGCTTCTGATAAAAATTACCCAAAAAGCCATGTTTAACTACTTACCTCAGTAAGATTTGTGGGCCCAGAACACTTGTGAACAGGAGGCAGCTTACTTCAGACTTAGACAACTAATTTAGGCCCCAAGATTTGAAAAATTTGGCTATTCTTGGGGTGTTACCCAGCAAGGTATTTCTGTAAGACCCAATGACCATTTTCTTTTTTTGGGGGTAGGATGCTCCTGATAATGTTACCCATGGTAGCAGAGAAACCAGGAAGTGTGCACCTCAGACTTTTCATGGGAAAGATAATTTGTGTTAAAATATCCTCCTAATTTATATCCTTAGATATAATTTTTCTCATTCTGAAGTCTTCTAGAAAGGTCTTGTGGCTAGCAACCCCCTAGCAGTTCACCTTTAAATAGTTTTACACTGTCAAAGCAAATGAAATTTCTTCTCTTTTAGATCTGGATAAAAAAAAATCTAGCTACACTTCAAAGAAAACACACCCAGCACTCTAGAGATCAAGCATTATCAAGAGTTTGGCTTAATTTTAAATTAAATACAGATAATGCTGGAACATCAAAACAGATTCTCAGGCTTGGACCCGTGCTGTCATGTGGTGTGTCGCACGGAGTCTGCCCCTGTGTATCTGTTGGCAGGACTGGGTCCTAAAATTGCCAGCCTGCCTTATGCTGCGAGTCTCCGAGTCTTTAGTCTTAGTGTCAGGCACTTTATGTGCTGGGATCACGTTACTATATTTTCTTAATCCTTTGCCCACATTAAATCCTTAAAAGTGAAGGACTTTGAATAGCTTCATATCTTTTCCTCTTCTTTTATTTGTATGCATTCCTTTCCTGAAGTCAACTGTGACCGTTTCAAAGAGAGCACACGCTCTGTACACCGCAGATCCAGAAAGTCTAAAAGAGGTCTGTGCTAAGAAACAATAACTTGATTCAAGATGTAAATGAGCTGAAATGCTTTGAGCTGTCTAGATTTACTTTTTATGCCTTTGATCTCCTTTGGAAGCAGAGGGGCCCTTAGTGCTTAAGAATGGGCGTTCTCTCGTCTCCCAGCAAAGGGGGCAATCATTTCTCCAAGGCAGTCATTAAGGATAGGAGTTGGTTCATGCTGCCGGGTGGGGGCTGAGTCCTAAATTTGCAACGATCCATCCTTTCATTTTGGACCTCTCCTTGCTCTTTCTATAAAACACTTTCATTGGTACCTGGGCCTATAGCACTCACCCATGCACTAGGGAAAACAAGCAATCTCTGCTGGCTGAATGCTTCATTACCAGCTAACAGGTGTGTGAAAGCTAGAGTGCATGCTTCACACTTCTCCAAATATGCAGTATCCCTTCCTTACCCAAACCTACAGTTCTCCTGGCCCACCAGGGCGGTAGTCCTGCAGCTGCTCCTAATCCCAGGGTCCAATATCACACTGCATACTGCCGTTCACTAGCTCATCAGACGGCCCTCAATGCCTGTTGTCAGTCAAACTAACCAGCATGTTTCTCTTGCTACGGCATCATCTGCAAGACTCATGCTGCTCTCATCCAGTTCTAAAATTAAGCCCTTCACCGGCTTCCCTGTAAATGTTTAATGTCAGTCAACAAACATTCCACCTGGTTTCTAGAAACTGTAAGTTTTACCTCTTTCCTTCCACCATCTTCCAAAGAAACTTATAAACTTATTGAAAATTGGAAAATGGGTTTCTGTAGTCACGTAGGGTTGAAGATATTCAAACCCATTTACAGAACTGATTTAAAAAAAAAAAGACCAAACCCACTTTTGCCATGGGCTGGTTGAGAAAATGTTAATTTCTCAACCTAACACCCTGATGAGAAGGGCAAGTCTAACACCAAGCACAACAATCCTACTGAATTCAGGCAGGGGGAGAGAGGCAGAGAATATAGTGAGTCTGAATGAAGAGAAACGGTAAAAATCTGAACATCTGTTGTGTAAATGCCTGGTAGCACCTCATTCTTCTAACTGAAAGACTGTCTGCTTCAAATGATCAGCGTTTTAGCTAACCAACCATTGTTGAGAGAATTTAGCATCTTAGGAATAGTAGGATCAACCCAACAGCTAAGAGCTTAAGAGCTGCTTTGGAAGTGTATTTTATTTTGGAGCCTATGGCTATGTTAAGAGATTTGATATCCTTTTGGTCTCCTGTCCAGTTTGCAAGAGAGAGATTCCAAGTTGCTTATTACAAGAGTTGAGGAATTAACAATGGGATGGACGCAGGGTGGAGAGGGTGAGGAGGGTGGAGAAGTTGTGCTGTGCTGTTTTTCCAAGTAACTTTGATAGCTTTCCTCCTCTTCTCCTCCTTGTGATTGGAACAGAAAGGAACAGACGGAGTGGCAGGCAACATTCGGTGTCGACAAGGAGGATGGTGGCACTATATGATTATGACCCAAGAGAAAGTTCTCCTAACGTTGATGTAGAGGTATTGATTTAAATCACAAACAAGTGCAACTGTTTTGTTTTTGGTGGTTCAGACATGCTCTTGAACATCCCACTCAGGAGTCACACAGGTCTGCTCAGCACATTATCTAATGATTTAGGAATACAATGAAATCATATTGGTGTATGTAACAGAGCTACCGAAAGAAACAATGTAGAGTTTGAGATGATGGGAATACACATTTGCTTGAGTGAGAGTGGAAATATTTATTCCCCGTCTACTTTGCGTGTTTCCTAGAGTATGGATTACTTTTCAGAAGCATCCCAGCTCGCACTAAAAAACAGGTAGCCTGAAGCACAGCAATTAATTTTGAATGCAGAGGTTACGAACCTCAAATGCCCTCGCGTCCCAAAGGCACCCGTTTTTTCTTGTTTATAGATTTCATAGATTTCATAGACATTAGGGCTGG